ATATAATATTTAGGGTATAAATATAAGATTTAGAGTAATAATATAAAGTGATAATTATATGATTGGATAAAAATAATGATAATCAGGTGATAAATTATAAAAATTAAGAAAAAGGGAATTTCATATAATCAAAGAAAGATTATCAAATTAGAAAAATTTATGTTACTACGGTAACAATATATGTATAAAATATATGTATAAAATGTATTTGTAAATATATATTATAGTTTTAATAATCTTTATTTACTGCTATCAAGTTATAAGAATATTTTTTATATGAAAAGTATTAAGATAAATTTATTAATTATTATAAATAAATTATATCAATTAAGATAGTTTTTAGTTTTAATTTTAATTATTTTTTATTTATTAAATAATAAAAAGATCTAAAAAACTATAATACAGAATAGAGATATTTAAATATATAATTAATATTTAATGAATTACAAATAAATTAATAATAAAATAGAGAACAATTAGTTCTAAATTATTAACCTTAAAGATAATGTATCTCCAAGTTATGCTATACTTAATTAAATATATATAAAATATAAATAATAATAAAAAGTAATTATATGAATTTAAAAATAATAAATATGAAATAAAAGAATAAATAAAAAGAAAAAGAATTAAAAACAAAGTATGTCTAAATTAATAATATAATTTATATTTTGCATTTAATCTATTTGGTGAAATATTAAGAAGTATTAAATATAAATTTGTATTAATTTCTAATATGTTATGCAAAAAATGATAAATATAACATGAAAAATAATGAATATAATACAAGAAATTATGAGAGTATATGAAAATTATTATATTTAAAGTATTAATAACTTATTTAAAAATAAATAGCTTTATACAAAAATCAGTATATATAAACTGATCAATAATTTACTATAAAATAATAATTAAAACAATAAATTAAAACAAACTAATATACAAATTAACCTATATTTACCTAAAAATATTTATTTACTGGTACTATTCATATCATTAACTCTTTTTAGTTATTTAACTTATATTAATAGCAAATCATATTTAATTAATTTTATCTAAAATATAATAATATATTGTATTTGAGTTTTATTATATATTTAAATTATATTGAAATATTTTATATATTAATTAATTAATCAAATTTATATTAGATATCATAGTAAAAAATAAAATTATATTTATATTAATAAATTAAAAATAAACTTTAATATTAATAATATAAAAATAATTCTTTAAAAAGATTAGTTCTTGTTATCTATTTAATTATTAAAATACAATTTTATTTTAACTTTAAATATCTTTCATTAGATATATAATACTAATTAGTTAAAAATCAAATTTTAATTTATCATATCAATTTTTTGAATATTAATTTATAGTTAATTTATTAATCATATTAATTATTATTTTCTTATTATCAGATTATTATCATTATTAATATGATCAACAAGTAACATATTATATTTACTTAGCTAATAGTATAACTGTAATACTTATCTAATTAATTAGAGATATTTATCTTAATTAGTAGAAATAAACTCTTATAATATATAATATATATTTTATTAGAAAACTGAAATATCAAACTTTTAAACAAATTAAAAAAATTAATGTCAATATTTATTAAAATTGTTAACTTATAAATTTTAAATATAATAAGATAATTAGTACTTGAAAATATGATTTTTTCAAAAAAGCAATTGAAAATATATTAGAATGATTTAAATTTATTGTTTATAATTTTATTAATAAATATAAAAAGTTTAATTAAATTATAGTTATTATTCAGAGTAATAAATTACAAAAATTAGATGATAAAGCTATTTAAAAATTAATTACTGAAAAATTTAATATGCTATAATTATTTTTGTTAATTCCAAAACTATATAATATACTTTTACAAATCTAAATTTATTATTGAGCTGGATTGAGAAAATCTTTTATATTTGAAAAAATTATCAAAAGTAAATAAAGTAATATTTAAAAAGAAAAAATTGAATTAGTGAATAAAAATCAGTAATTAATAATAATAAATTAAAATATCTAATATTTCAAAATGATTTTTACAATAATTTGGTGTTGATTATATGAAAAATATAATGTTAATTATCTTTTTCCTAGTATAAAATTAGTAAATAATGATATAGGAATATTTTATTCAAAATATACTTGAGTTATTAATAATAATTAATTCAAAGTATATAAAAATAATGAAACAAAATTTTTTGTTATTTCTAAATGATTTGCCAGTTAGTTCTGTTTAACTTTTTAAAATATTAATACTTTAATTTATAAATATTGTTCAACTAATAAATAGAAAGAGAAAAATTTAATAACTTTATTTTCATAATCTATTCAGAGTTCTGATCTAAATTTAATTGAATATTTGTAAGATATTTTGGAAAAACAAATTGGTGCATATCTAACTCATTTCAGAAATCTAAAAGAATTAATAGATATACTTACAGGAAAGTGAAAAATAATTGAACCAAAAATTTGATTAAAAGTATACTAAGAAAAGTACAAGCTATAATTAAGACAAATAAATATTCAACTCAATATTAAACTATATGTATAAAAAGTCCTACTTTTCTTGAATAAAATAATATATTTTTATTGTAGTTTATTAAATTAAAGTATCACAAAATGTCATGATCTACATTGTTGATCATTTCCCGATACCGAGTGTATTCATTGTTTTTGCATTGTCATCGATCAACTATCAACTATCAATTGTTCTATATATACGTACATATGTATTGGTGCGATTCTGCATGTGTCGAACACACACACATATCGGTAGCGTATCAGTATCCTTTATAATTAAACTCACCATACATGTACAAAAACTAATAGATTTTTTGATATACTAAAAGAGAATTACCGTGTACATGTAACTCGTGAAAAAATTTTAGCTTTAATCCATAACGACAATGTTTGACTCATGTAATTAATAACGATAAAAGGAAAATAGCGATAAAAGTGAAAAACAATGCTTATCGTTATGTGTATGCATCATAAGGTTTCAAACAACGGTAAAAAATGTTTTTGTTTACGTAATCAAAGAAATTTTATTGGTGAAACACGATAAATGTATTACACCGTTGTTATACGTACATGAAACATATATCATTTACCTTGTCTTGACAGCCAAAAATGGAAATCATAACTAAAAAGCATTTAAAATTAACGTTAACGTTTTCTTCGATCAACGAATGTTACGTTAAGCTGCAAAGTGTGTTACCTTTGCGTACATGTACGTACAAAGAATTCAAACATAAACAAACACGGGTAGACTGGTGTTAGGTTAACTCTAATAAAAGGAGAATTTAACCCTCGTTTTACGCACTCATCTCATCTTCTATCCAAATCAATTCAATAATATTATTCATCAAACTTGCTTGCATTTGCTTTTCTTCTTCTCCCAAAGAATAACATAAAAAATGGCAGTTCTTAAATCTATTATTACAGCTTTTATTACATTGGCAGTGTATTCCTCACTAGTATCAGCTGCGCCAGAAGGAACATTCAACACAACTCGAAACGCCGTTGCTACATTTACCAAAGGAGTAAATGGAACTATTACGTTTCAAGGATATTATGATGAAAAGACAAAAAAGGAAAGCACTTTAATCACAGTTGACATTCAAAGTGGTCTGGATATCCCTGCTGAGGGATATCCATATCATGTTCACGTAAAACCAATTACTGGTGATAATTGTACTACAGCTGGTGGACATTTGGACCCAAAGAGTATGTATTCTTGATTAATCAGTTCATGTTCATACAATCATACTTATCTCATAAATTTTAATTCCAGATATAACCGACTTATTTGTTTGTAAACCACCAAATCTCGCCGAATGTCAACCAGGAGACTTGAGTGGTAATTAATTAACAATAGATTATCGATATCGATATATATGTGAAAAATTCATTCTAACTTGAATAATATATTCTAGGTAAATATGGTAAACTAATAGCTGATAATGGCAAGAATAAAACTACTGCAGTCGATGAATATCTTTCTTGGACGAATCCAGATTACACACTATTAAACCGTTCAGTCGTAATTCATTACCCAAACAGTGAGTTTTTTTAACCTTAATTATATTTTTTGAATGTATTTGGATAGAATTAAAATTATACCTATTTTCATATACGTACTTATAGATTCAAGATACGCATGTGCTGATATTAAATTAGTTTCTAACAATATTATGCTCAACAATAACACTACTAATACGAATAATGGAACTGCGAATACGAATACGGATAGTGGCAAAAAGAGTTTTGCTAGTGACATGAAAAATATTTCATGGATGAGTTTATTCTTTACTATTATCGTATCAACGTTAATCGTTGGTTTAATGTCAGCTGACAGTTTAACACTTTAATTTACTGCATTTTTTTTTAATTTACACATAAGTTGGAATAGAAGCTGTGTTGATTGGAATCAACTTGGGTTGATTTAGAATAGTGGCCAGAGTTAAGTTATTTTGATTTTATAATGCGGGCCAAATTCCAAATCAACACAAATTCTATTCAAACTTATAACATTTATATACGTTCATCTTAATCTTGATATATATATATATATAATCAGTCTTAGATCTTTAGATATATAAAAGTATACTATATATCTAGCTGTCGTTTTAATTAGTTATAGATTTTGTACTTTTATTATTACTAAAATAAACGTGAGGTATCGCGCTTGAATAAAAATTTATGTTGGCTGTGCTAAATCTCGTTCAAGACTATGTCATGTAAAGATATCAGGAAACAATTTGACCTTTTTCTGAAAGATAATTCGATAATCAACAATATTGAATTCTTCGAAGACAGAACTATGAGGATATTCATTATAGTACAAAAAATTACTTTAATATCAATAGAATACCGTGATTACAGCAAAAAGTTTAATTATTTTCAACTTATCAATCACTTTTACCCTGTAACGATAGAAAATAATGAAACGATTAATCCCATCGTTTTTGTCCTAACGCTAAATTGCGTCCTTCCAAAAAAGCATGAACATATTACCTATTGCCAATTATCGAAAGAATATATTTAAATTAGATGGGTCATTTGACCGCGTTTATAACGCTTCTCAAGATGTTTAATCATTAATATCAAGCTAAACAACCATTAAAGTTTTATTTTTGAACTTATCCCCCTTGTAAAAATTTGAATCACAATTTAGTCTATTTTTTTTAGTAAATCCAATTATTTTTTCCGCAAATAATTAAATTTAGGTTTCACTACGATTTTTAAAAAATTTAAATTTTCTACAAAGGGAGATACTATACAGAGCGTTTTACGGTATGTTGTATTTATCGTTATCTCTGATTTGTTATCGTTATTATCTATCGCTATATTTATTATAAAACAAACGGATTCTTAAGGCAAAATGCGTGCGCCGAAAATTAGCTTTGTTTTAATCACGACGAAATATTGATATTCGTTATACTAATTTTTAAAATTACAGAATAAAAGAGATATTAAGTCTTTGTTTTGAATAAGTAATTTAAATAATTTGGTTTTTTTTTAACCTTCTTCATTCGCTCAAAAAGCGATTCGTAGCACGTTTTATTTTTGGATCACTTCCACTCCACCACAAATAAAACAAAATCTGAAATATTTTAAAATTAACTTTTATTATGATAATTAGAATTATATTATCGAAAAAATTTAGTATTAATCGTGGAAATTCGTATTTGTTGCAAATTACACAGAGGAAATGGACATAATAGATTCGACTTATAACATATATGTTGGAACCGGTTACATACGTATATAAAAACTCTGTCTGCTATAGCGGATCCGCAGATATCGGTTTAAATGATACGTATTGCTTTCAATGTGTGTAAAAAAGACTTTGTTTATAATACAAATACAAATAAATAATTTTGATGAAAAGACTCGTCTGCTTTGTAGTAATGTTTATCAGACAATTTACTCATCTAAGCAAAATACTGTACATATCGATATAAATGCGTGATTGAACCTTAAAGTTCTTATAATAAATATTGTTAAAGCACACATAAGATACAAATTGATCATTAATTAGAAAAAATAATGGTGTAACTTTTTCTAATAAGCTATAGAGAAAAATATAAAGATTTTACCTGCCTGTATAGCAAGTCAACTACATATCACTAAATCTATATTTTCGTTAAATTATTCCATTCTAATACGTGTACTGTATACGTATTATGACACAAAGTAATAATGATAAATCCAATAACAGTGATTTGTTCAGCACAATATGATATAAAGCTAATAATCCAATAACAATGATTTGTTTAGCACAATATAATATAAAACCCAAAGTCAATAATAGTGTTTTGTTCAGCATAATACAATTCAAAGCCACTTGTACACAAGTTTTGATGTGTACAATTAAAAGTGGGAGAGGTGAATATTGTTTAGAAGAAAATTTTAGCTAAGAGAAAATTTTATTTTTATTTGAAACATGTCAAGTTAAGATTCAGATAGCATCTCTATTTATGTATTTTTTGAAAATACAATTCTAAAATATAATAGTTAACTAAAAATAAGATAATTTGATAAAACTAACTAATAAGAAAATAAAGTAAATGATGAAAAGTAATCAAAAAATGATGAAAAGTAAAATAAAATAATAAAAATTAATCAAAAATGATAAAAATTAATCAAAAATAATAAAAGTTAATCTAAAATAATGAAAGTTAATCAAAAATAATGAAAAATAAAATAAAATAATAAAATAATTTGAGAGATTTTTATTATTATATGAATATTTTATATTTTTTAATTATTTTTAAATTTAATAAGTTTTATATTACTACTATAATATTTAATTCTTCTTTGAAGATTTTGCTTCACAAAATTAATTTTGAATATCTCTTTGAATATTTTTAATTTCTTGATGATCCAGTCAATATATTTTGTTAGATATTAAATTATATATTGATTATAGAACTTTTTCTTGTTGTGAAAATTTTAAAAGTTTTTTTGAAATTGAATATAGTTATTTACTTAATTGTTGTCCAATATTTGATAAATAGTTTATTTTTGCTTCTGGAATTATTATTGGTATTTAACTGAATAATTTTTGTATATATTATCTTTATTTTTCTTTCTTGAATTTGCTACTATTACTTGAAATTGACATTGTAAAGTTTTGTGTAAAATTTTAAAAAAACTTAAAAAATCTGTACAAATCTATATTTTGTTGCAGATCTGTGCAGATTTTTTTAAAAATTTTTCTTTATTAATCATCATCAAATTTAAAGTTTTGTACAAATTTTTGGATCTAAAGATCTGTGCAAAACTGCACTCTCAAAATTTTTTGATAATAATATCTAAGATATAATTGTTTAATAAAATAATAGTTAATTAAAAATAATTATTCAATAAAAATACTAATAAATATAATTCAATAATTATTATTAAAATGATAAAAAAAGCTAAAAAAGTTAAGAATAAAATATTTAATAGAAATTATCATCAATCTCAAGTTATATTAAATAGTAATATGAATATTATACTAAAAGCTTTTAACCAATAGCTAGTCACTACTGGAATCTAGAAATAACTTATATAATTAATATTCAAGCTGGAATTTTTCAAATAATAACTCAATAATTACTTGTTATAATTGTAATAAAAAAAGAATATATTATAGAAGAAATTGATAAAATTAAATAATAATAATTATTAATAAAATTTTTTTAACAATAGTCAATAAAAATTACAACAAATTAAAATATCTTCTTTAATAAATATGTAAAATTAGCTTTTTTTATATAATTTCAAATACTAAATTCAAATTTGCAAAATATATATAAAAAGTAAAACAATATTAGCAACTTATTATTAGCTAAATATAATTATTTTACAAGTAAAAAGAAGCAAAAAATAGTTAAAGATATAATTCACTTGAAAAAAAATCTGTTACTTAAAACAAAAATAAACAAGTTAAAAGTAAAAAAAAGATAATATAATTCTTGTTGAAAATAATAATATAAATAAAAAATAAAATAAATTCTTTTAATATTTCTATATTAAAAAATATTAAAAGAATCAAGTTCAAGTGAAAGAAAGATAAAGCAATTCTTCTAGTTCTTGCTACAAAAGCTATTTTATATAATATTACTAAAAACTTGATCAATATACAAGTCAATATTATAATGACTCAATTAATTGAAAGTTTATTTGTTCAATAAATTAAAATATTAAAAAATTATCTCAAATTCTTCTTTAAAAGAAAGTTAGAATTTTGAAACAAAATATGAAAATAACTTTAACTTGACACAAAAATCAAGAGAATTATAATTGATCTTATAATTAATACTGATATCTCTAAATATATTGTAATATATTATTTTTCAAAAGTCAGAATATTCAAATACAAAAAAATCAAATATTTCTATATTTGATATCAATAAGCAATCTAAATAATAACTTAGAGTTCTTAATAATCTATTAATTATTATTAATAAAATTATAATTCTAACTCAAGCTAATATTACTAAAGCAAAAATATATAATATTATTACAAATATAAATTTCTTGTACAAATTAATACAAATATTGATTTAAAGAAAAGGGTTGTTACTATAATAACATAAATTTCTCTAATTCAATAATCTTTTATTAATTATGCGAAATTCTCTTTTTCTTAATTTTTTATCATTTATCACCTGATTATTATTATTTTTATCCAATCATATAATTATTTCACTTTTATTTTATTACTCTAAATCTTACATTTATATCCTAAATATCATATTTATTTCCTTTTTTTATTTTTATACTTTTATCACACTAAATCTGAGATTTACAATTTTGATCACAAATGTCCTATATTAATATTAATGTTTCACATATATAACTATATTTAGTAATACTGTATAGATTAATTAATTAATACATTTATAAATTCTTTCTTATATATTTCAATTTTTTTTTATATTTATATTACACAAAATCTTGATTTCAAAATCTTAATCTAAAAACCTTAATCTGAAATTACAAAATATGTATATTAAATAGTATTAATTAGTAATACTATAATAATTTTTGTATTCAAAAAACATGTATAAAAGGATCTGCTCT